CTTCCTGGTCATCCTTCCCTTGGCCCAAATGTGTCAAAACCTCTAACTAAAACTTAAAAGAAAATCTTAAAATGTAATCAAAACCCTTCAATCACTTGAATAAATATTCAGTATAGATTCCAGTTAACTTTGCAACGACTTATGACGTAATTATGAATGTTACTATTCATTAGTGAATGGGAATGAAAAAATCTTAAAGATGAATGAGGTTTTGTCAGCAGTAATGTTAAGAACCAAGATGCTTTCATTAATATCCTTTTCCTTCACTCTTTTTACCCTTCTCCTTTGTATTTTGCAGTGAAAATGTCAAGGAACAAGGAGGAAATTACATGAGTAAATACTACATATTGTAGTTAACCCTTAATTACTGATGTTAATATAATTTAGGGGAAAGCATGGATAAATGAAATCTGTATTTTAGCTTACAGTTTAATGTCTTTGACAAATAAATCTTTAATTAGGTGTGCTATACTATAGCAGAATAAACGCATGTGGATTGACCTCCTGTTCTTCCTCTAACCACTCTTTGGCCTTAATACTCATAAGCTGTGCATTGGCCTAAAACCAAGGGACCAAGACAGAAAAAAGAAGTAGCTAGCTTGTCTAATACACAAAATAGGTTATAACTCCTTAAATAATCAATAGTTAATTACACTTTGGATTTATTGATGAAAACAGTCAATGTCTCTGCTTAATCATTAATAGAAATAAAGAGTGGATAGAGCTTTCAGGTTAAGAAGTTTGTTACATTACTGTTATTTTAGAATTAGACCAATAGTGTTAAAATTGATAGATAATGATGGCTGACAGACTGGTAAGCTAAATAATATGATTTGTCATTTTTAAAAATGTTATAAATATGGGTTATAAATTAACTAAAAGACTTGTTTTTTCGTAGCATATTCTCTACAATTTCCAAAAATTTATAGGCACTCCATAAATAATTAGGTCTAAGTTTTAGATTAAATTATGCTTGGAATGATAAAATTATATCCAAAATAACAATATTAGCATTTAAGAGCAAAAGTTATAATATTAGAGTTGATGTTTAACTTTGAATCATTTTCATTTTAAACAATTTAATTATATTTTATATTGGAATAATGTCAGTATTTTTATGCTAGATATTGCATGAATAAGCTTAAGGTTCAGTAAAATAACAAAAAAGTACTCTATATTACCCTTCTTCAGTCTTTTATAGCCTGATCATTTGCATGATTTTTTCTATGTTCAATGTGCTTTAGACCAAGTAGGTACTGTTACAAAGATATCCCTTTTTAGAACAGTGTAATTTTTTGCTAAAGATTACACAATGACCTTTAAAATTTTTTCATTCCATGAAATTTACCCAACAGCCCTTTCGTTCAATCCTCTATCTGAACTAAACTGCTAAAACTTTGTGTTCTTCCACTCCAGTAAACAGTGTTTCCTCTTTAACTTTAACCTTTGACCCTCTCTCACCCAACGATTGACATCTGGTCATTATTTCTTTTACTGCTTTCCACCCCCTGTTGTCAGATGGACTGTTCTGTTGTCTAAAACACTTGATAGGTGGACAGGTTTATATAATCCGAGGTGAGTTCCTGTAGAGGCTAATTGGATGTTGTCTTTTCATGCAAAAAAAAAAAAAGCAAACCCTAAAACTTGCCAGCAGTGAAGCTGTCCACCATGTTGGTTTCCAGAAAATGCACATTTATTATCTGTGGTACTCTTAAGTACAACTAACTGTAGACTTATCTCTGATTATGGATGATGGTATTCAGAGCACCTACAAAGTTACAAATATATGAAGAATTTCTTTTTCCAAAGTTTGTAAATAATTTTAGTGTTCCAGTAACTTTATTTTGATTCATACAGCAGAAATAAAGTTTGACATTTTTGTTAAGAAGCATGTCAATTTTCTTCCATGTTAATTAAAATTCTATCATGAAATATGTAGATATATGTGTATATATATATATATATGATGGAGCAATATGCTGTATACCATTTGCATGGGTCAAAAGAACTAGAAAATACAAAGTTTTAAAGAGAAGGTTTATCACCCGAGTAGCAGAAAGCAATGCATAAGTAAAATTCATTTTATACACTATACATTGCATCAATTTTTTTATATTTCATAAAACTATTAGCTGACATCTCAAAATTTCACATTCAGTTGTGAAAAAATCCTACAGCATTTATTTTATTTTCCCCAAAAAGCACATTAAATGTATTCTTGCATGAAAATAGGAAAGAGAACATTTTACTTGGTTTTCTAAACTTTGAGCACCTAATGCATTTGGCTTCATTTTGGTCTTTAAATGTTTTGTAAAAAATATTAAAAAAAACCACATCCATGCAGAGATTTTTTTGGCATTTCATCTTAAGCTGTTTTGATGTCTCCTTTGCACTTATGTGTTCCTCTCCTTTTCATCAGTTGCCTTCATTCCCACTTGTTTATTTATTCTTATTCTCTAAAAGCACAGTGGAATGCTTTATAGTGTTGTGGCTAATTGGAGCTTGCTAAATGTTTAATAATGCTATGAAATCCTGCTTAGTACAGCTAAATGGGGGTGGTAGAGATGGCAGGGGTGGTGGTGGGAATGTGAGGGAAGAGAAAGGATTATGAGGTATACCTTTAAGTAAAATTTTTAACGTAGGGTTACCACCGTTACCATGTAGAAACACTTAGGTTATGTCATCATTCCACCAAAACTATTTTACCTATTTAGTTTCCTCTTTATTTTATATTCACACTATACAGCAATTGTATTAAAGTAGAATCGATTGAACTTTCTTCAGTTAACATGGTATACGCCATATCCTTAGAGAATGCTAATACGTAATCATCTTAGCAAATCTTAAAATTCCTTTTTTGAGTTTATGTTCCAAAATGTTATTTGTGGTTTTTTTTTCCCCCTGTAGATACATATGTTAAGTTGACTCTTCTGAATTCCATGGGTCAAGAGATGTCCAAATGCAAGACATCTATCCGCAGAGGACAACCAAATCCCATATACAAGGAAACCTTTGTTTTTCAAGTGGCACTGTTTCAGCTTTCAGATGTGACCCTTATACTATCCGTGTATAACAAACGCAGCATGAAACGGAAAGAGATGATAGGCTGGATTTCTCTAGGTCTCAACAGCTCAGGAGAAGAGGAACTCAATCACTGGACTGAAATGAAGGAATCCAAAGGACAGCAAGTATGTAGATGGCACTCATTATTAGAGACATAATGGACAGAGCGAAGGGCAATTACAACTCAATACAGCCTTGTTTCTGGCTCCAAAAACATTATTTTTATTTAGCCACTACCCGGAGAGCAGTTCACAGAAGTATCAGATTCAACATTCCACCTAAAACATGCACTAAGTGCTATGGAACAGAACAGCTAATGTATCATCTCTTCATTGATTTTCCATATCTCTGGTGGAAATTACCATGAAATATGAGAAACTTACATGATCATGGTCAAACTAGCAACTCTCCAGAGGTTTAATTGTATGATGTTGGTTTTTACAGTAATTTCATTTTAGCTACTAAAGAGCTAGCTATTTCATTAAAAAGCAGAATTTTCAATGAATAAAAATTGGAGAATTTTGGTTTCAGTACTGTAAGAATATTGGCACTGTCCTAGAGGTTCTCCATAAAATATTTTTTGACCAGCCAACACCCAGTGTTAGTGACAAGAAATTTGTGGTCAATTTGAAAGGAACCTAAATCAATGCTAATGGTAAAAATTTAATCTCATTGAAAAATCATTTTATTTCATATTTTTTCTCTTTGCATAGGTTATTATGCTTCATTTCTCTGTTAAACATCTCAATAGCATTAAATCTAAGTGGAAGCAGATATACTTTGACAAAAAGAAGACATTTCTTCAGCATGTCATGGGGACAAGTTTCACTTGGATGCAAGTCATTTTTCCCCTTGCCTATGCTTCTGCTTAACCCAAAGAGACCAAGTCACTGTACTGGTCCCTTGCAAGCCTTGTTAGACAGGTTGTACTGTAGAATTATGTAACTTTCTGTTGAAAGCACTTCCTATATTCATGTATTCCAACATAGGAAGCTCATAGAGCAGGACTTGACTTTTAAAATTCTTTCAATAATTGATATTAATTTATTTTAAATGCCAGTATTGTGAAGAATATATTTTTAAAACAACCAAGTATATAGTAAGTTAGCTGCTAAAAAAAATACAATCCAGTGTGAAGAAGTTTTAACTCTCTGGTACTAGCATTAAGCAACCGACATTGTTTTTAGCTAACTAAGTATTCATATTAAGAAAGAAGCTGCTCTCTAAGTGTTCAGTCTTACCCTGTGATACAAAGACTATCCCTGTCTCAGATTCAGTCAGGACCTCAAGTTAAAGACAGTTCTGAGACTCCTTCTGATGCTTCTAGTGATGTGACTAATTTTTATGAACTTTACAAATACGTTCTTCGACGTAATATCATCCTGTGCCTTTCATGTATGTGAAATTTGCTCATACAACTTGAGAAAGCTGTATTTGCAAAATTAGGCCTTCAATTTTTATAAACATAAAGATTCCTCAGAACAATGTCATAAGATCTTTTTTTCTCTAGACTATGTAAAGTTGTATATTACGTCCTAATTTTTTAAATGATGAATGAGTTTCATTTGGGTTGATTTTTTAAAAATCTAGCAACTTTGGTTGGAAGTGGCATTAATTATTGTCCTATTTTGCTTCTCCTGTTTGCTGTCTATAACTTTGCTCATAAATATTGTCAATTTTATATATGTATGCAATTCTTTTCCTTTGCCCTTTCTCCTTTCTGGGCCAAATAGAACAAATAATTATTTGTTTACCAGTTACTGAAAAGTAGTGTATGGTTTTCAAGAGATTCGCAGTGTACTCTAATGTACAAACATATAATAGCAAAACATCCTCATAGAAAATATCATTTAAATTTGAGTTTATAGGATTGTACAAGTAATCCCAAAATCCAGTAAACCCCTTGATTACCTTTTAGTTCAATTAAGTTAACAGTTTAGAAATGACAGTTCAATACATTCATCCATATGAATTATAAGAAAAATTATTATTAGGTTAAACTGAAGTTTATTAATGCATATTATGTGGTTTCATTAATGGGAAAATTCATTCTTTCATTAGAGTAATCAGCGTTTTCCAGGATTTTTATAAATGAGTTAGTCTACTCTACAATCATATGTGAATCATGAGACATGATAATGTGATTTAAGCAAGATAAGCAACAGTGTGCAAGGAGGTTTTGAAAGAAATTAAAAATCTTTACTTAGAAATCACATCTAGGATTTTGACATTGTAAGTATTTGTTCTAGTTTCGAAAAGATTGGTTATGTTAATGTTAACTAGAATGTCCCCAATAAAAAGAGGTATCAACCTTATTTGTAACTATATTAAGCCTTACTCAAACACAAGATTTCCTTGTTATTTTACCTTTGAGTGAGCAATCCACTAGCCAGCTGTTCGTTAAATTTGCATTTTGCAGACAAAACCCAGAGAGGTGTATATGTTTCAGGATATCCCAGACAACTTCTAAACAGAAATCTACAGATCTAAAACATAAATGGGATGTTGAAAATGTTAGATAAGGCCCCTGTGCTCAGAAAGATAACATAAACTATAACTCTAGATTCTATAAGAGTGAGGGTGTCATAATTCTGGAAATGTTCAAGTTAGTGAATTCTATTTCTTCTGTGTTTACTTAACTCAGAATCACCTTTTAGTTTAAATCCTAATTAATGATTACTCCCATTCTATTACCTACTTCTTTGTTTCTCCAAATAAACACACACACACACACACATACAGAGCAAAATACATGTCTTACCCTGTGGATTGACAAAAAAAAAGTATTAGCTGTTGGAGTAATTACTTCTAAAAGATTGTTTTTTCTCTTAGAAAAAAGGCTTAAGTAGGGCTCAAGAGACCCCTTTTACTATACCAGATTTAGTATATCAGATAGTATTACTGAGTTTTTTGTGCTTTAATTTTCATGAAAGCTTTAAGGCAAATTTTTGTATCGTAGTAATTACAGCAAATAGGGGTCCACTGGTGGGTAGTAGATATGGATTTAGAAATTTGAGAAAGAAAACCCAATTTCTTATTGTTCTGTTAAAAAGCCCTAAGTTTTATAATAAAATGAGAAAGGCCATATCTGGCAATTAAGTGACATGTGAGTGCCTGCTCCTGTAATTACAGCCTTTATTTATCAACCAAATGAGTTCCAAAACATAGTGGTTTCTTACTGCCCAAGAAACAAAAAATATTATACTTCAAATCAGTAAAGAACATTGGTACGATATTGATTCTTCTTGCCTCTCAAAAGTCTTCTTGCTTAACCTTAATTCTTTAGTGGTATTCATATTTTCCATGAAATTTTGTTTGCATGTTGTATTACAGTCCACACATTAGGCATTCAGATACTACCATAGTAACAGAATAACTAATGTTTCATAGTATTAAAATAATGGCCAAAATGCCAGCCCACCCAGGGTATTCACCAGATAGATAGCTAATTAAATAGGCTAGAAATGCACCTTTGGCTAAGGTTTATTCTGGAACCTAGATTCTAGAATTTAAATAAAATTCTTGTGGCCCTCATTTTGTAAATATTCAGAATGTTTACAGTAAATTGGAAATAAAATGATTGCTAGGTGATCCATCTCCAATATAGGAAAGCAGAAGTAGAGTTGGAAATGTCTGTCAAAAGGAAGACAGAAGACTTGAGAAAGGGAAATTAACATTTGAGTCTTATGCATGACCCTGAAAACCTGTGAACTTATATAGTCAGACAATTAGTGGATCTGAATTTCAGATTCTGTAAGAACAGTTATATCCAGAAGGATTCTCTACAACCACATTCCATGGGTGTATGAATAGAAGGGCCAAAAGTGACTTTGCTTTCAGCTGACACATGACTACATAGACTAAGAAGTCTATGTTCAGGCAGTTTCCAAGTTAAAACTCTGTTTTGGTCCTAAAAATTGTGATTTTTTTTATTCCTTTCTTCTCATTTTTCTTTGTCATCCACCACTATCCTTAAACTAGATCACCTACACTGAAGATGTCACCATTGTCATCATCATCAGGAAATATTTCTGAGCACAAGACTAAGTATGTTGTTAAGCATTGTAAGAAGTGGGTTTTTAAAACCTAGCAATTTATAACAATCAAAAGAAAGGCACTAAAATCATAGGCACCAAATGTGGGCATAAAACATGTGACATTCATGTCATGTGACATTAAACTTCCTTCCACCAAAAAAAGGAGATGTTAGAGAGAAACATAGAACCACGAAAAGGATGATGATAATGAAGATGGTAACGATGAGAGTTGTCGAGTTTCTTTGCTAAGATACAAATGGTCCTTGTGTCACAGAGTGTAACATAACTCATTAGGATATCAACACTCTATGAACAGGAAAAATTTAAGGGATGAAAGAGTTAGAGGTCTGAAGAATGAGAGTATTAGGGTTTATCTTTAATTTACTCTTACTATTTTGGGTTGCAAATGTGTTGTGTAGTATTTAAATGGAATTTCTCTACGACACTTTTTAAGTGTCTAAGATTTTTATTAAGTTTACAAGATCAGATTTCCTTCCAATAGAATGGCGAGCCAATTTTTATAAACCAACACTGGGGATTTAAGCAGGGAAGGTGGGCAGAGAATAACTTTTGGTATACAAGAAAGAGTCTCTATTGGCCATGCCCTGAAGGAACTATGATAGGAATAGCTATCTCTCTTCTAATGTTTTATAGGGTGCATTCTGTCCCTCATCCTTATATAGAACTTTTTCTGCATGTGCAAAACATGTGAACAAGAAAAGACCAACTGCCTGGCAGCAGAATCCTGTACTGCAAGCAAGCCCCCAAGAGCAGCATGCTAATGGAGCACTTTATTTATGCCGAGGTGAAACCTGAGACACGGAAGGGAGAAGAAATAGACCTTTTCCTCTTTGAATATGCATTGCTATCCTTCCCTCTCCCACCTCACCCTCCAAAAAAAATTCATTGCTCAAGTATGAAGGATAGAATTGAATTTTCCTACAAAGAAAAAAATACTGACTAGGAATAACATTGCTTCAATGACCCTAGACTAGCATTTTAATGAAAGAAGTTTTATGTGTGATATTAAATGAGTGAGGTATTCAAGCTAGGTTTAGTAGTATTAGGGTTTTTTTTCTTTCCTTAAAAAAGGTGAGAGATGTGTATAATGAAAAAAAATG